TCTTTCCCAGTAGGTTAGTTCATATTGCCTTTGAACTTACAATATTTATAATATTTTTATATTTACTCTTATTTAATAGAATATCTCACTTAAAGATGAAACAATAAGTGATTTATTTATTTATTAAGAATACTTTAAAAAATTATTAATTACATGCATTGAAAAATTAAAATATTTTATATTTTTAACATTTAATCTCAAAAAAAGTCTTATATATATATATATATATATATTGAATGAGAGTATTTTTGTGATGCATCATTATCTTGGGTTAGGTAGATCGAGTGGACCACATCATTTGCAATCTGTTTAATAAAAACATGATATTCATATAGTATTAAATATAAATTAATTTTAATATTAATGATAGTAGAGAGAGAAGAAAGAAATTAAATATGTATTTTGTTATGTATAGAAATAAAATTAATTAAAATAATGTCATGTAAGATTTTATTTAGATGACTTAAGATATCCTAATTAGACATACTACAAGTAATGTGACGCACCTGATTACAAAAAATTTTGGCGTGTAATTTATGGATAGAAAATTAGTTAACTAAATTCATGTGATGTATGTAAAGGCCTAATGTATAATCCTTGTAAGTAACCTTCTCTTTTGATTTTGATGTTTTAATTTCTTCTCCGTTATTTGACCCAGTAATTGTGTAAACTATCTTCAATAAAATCCCTAGAGCAAAGACCATGCACAATGAATATACACAAAAGTTTGAGATAGATAAGGGAGTGTCTATGTGTATTTTAAAAATGTTTAAATAGTGTTTTAATAATAATTATTTTTATTAAAATTTTAATGATATTTGTTTATTGTGATTGAAAATAAAAATAAATAAATTTTATGTAACAAGTAACAACTTAATTGAGAGAAATTCACCATTTGCTCTCAATATCTCAAAAAAAAAAAATCTTTACTATTGGCTGAGCCTACTTTTCGAACTTATTACAAATAAATAAATAAAACTATTTTGTTAATACAAAAAATACGCGGAAATTTTAGTTTTTTTTTTCGAATAACAAAAGTCAGAGTTTTTGTTAATTATCTTTAAGTCTGAAATTAGAAAATTTTTCCAACAAAATATTATGAATAAGTAGTTGCGCATTTTATTGTCTAAATTAACCTTCCATATATACGTTTGAAGAATCCCTATTTAAAGGATAAAATGGGAAATATAAACGCACATGAATTTTCTGAATAAAGACGTACTACATATATTGTTGCATATAATTTCAACTTTAATCGAATTATAAATTGACTTTCTAATTATATCATCTATCCTCGAAAAACGCTTCAATGAAAAAAGAGAAAATTATTAATAGCCAAGTGAAAGTCATAGGCCTTAGAAAAAATATTTGAATAAATTTATTGGGTATAAAATAAATAATAAGCACGTATTTTTACATTCTTACAAAAAAAACATTATTAATTGTGAGAACCAAGCAACAATAGTGTTGTGAGAAGCATATAACCACTCTCAATTAATTATCACGTGCTTTGTAGGTATGAATATGAATATTGAATGAATTATTTGAGTGTAAATACAGTGCCCTTTTCTAAAGGTGTGCTTGTATATATATATCAATTAATTAATTAGTAAATTTTCAAAGTCTACACTAGAGTCAACGAATCCAGCTTAGATGCCTTAGGGGTTGTGGATGGTTTTAATTTTATTTTATTTTGTGCTTGGACCAGTGATGGTTTTAATTGGGTGCATGTTCATACTTTCTGAACGAGACTAACTTATATTATGATGATTAGATTAGTATTTATAGTGAGATTAATATGATAAACATTTGTTTTATCTATTAAATTAAAGCAAACACACATCTAATTACATTTATTGTTGAGATGGCGATTGATGTTGGACATCCAAACAACCATAATTTTGACTATAGTTAATTCCATCATTGCCATTACATTAGATCTCAAAGCAATTAATGTAAGAACTTCAAAAAGTAGTTTAATTTTTAACCTAATGGTAGTTTCTAAAGAAAGGTCCACTTGTCAATTATTCTTATCGAAGCACATTTTCTTACCCCGACCAGTCTTTAGACTTACAAATTGCAGTTTGAACTGACTAAATGAAATTTCAAACAAGCACTTAATCATTTGAGCTATAGAAAGAGCTTGGCAGAAGGAGTTGATTCTCAAGATTTAAATTATGACTGGAAAAATTACTCACATTCAAGACTTATATGCCTTAAATAAAATTACCTCTGATAAAAAAAAATATATGCGAACAATAAAAATGGTGCAAAGAGATATTTTCACCAAAAAAAATTAAAGATATATTATTTGATTAATCATTGTATTATTTTATTTTGAACGTGATTAATTTGCACTTGATCATCTCTTGAACTTCGAATGATGTATATAGAAATAATTCTGACATTTAAAATTTGATACTAAGTTATATTTAAATTTAAAAATGTGTGCAAATAGTTTCTCTCTCGCTTTTGGACGAAGTGAAAAAAGTCTCTATTATCATTTATTTATTTATTGGTCTTTTTTTGAATTTTTTATTATTTTTTAACAAAATTGTCTTTTAATGGCACAACATTTATTAGGTGATATGGATGGATTTTGATTTAAATTTTAAATTTTAAATTTTATTTAAAATATCACATTAAATTTATAAATTTGCATGTATTTAAATAAGAGATTTGACCCAGTCTCAAATTTTAATTTTCATTAATCCGAACGCAATATAGAAATTTCAATCATCAAATATGTTTGCATTGTATCCTAATCCCTAATCATGCTATGGGAGACTGTTTAGATGGCAAAAATAGAGAAAGGTGTGCAGCAACAAAAAAACTGGAGTAAGGTAGTGGGCATGATTATATTCAAATTTTTTGATGTAGCTAAAAAAATTATGCATCGATCATTCCAATCAAGTTAATTAATTATTTTTTATTTGTTTGGTAATCTTGATAGAGTAGCTGTATTTTTTATGCCAATACAATTTCTTGTTGCATCAGCTAAAATATTTAAGCTTTATATCATTTAGATGTCAAATTATAGTTATGTCATCAATTTGTCTTTTCTTGAACGATTTAATCAAAAACATATAAATATATCTCTGAACTTTAGATAAATATTTTAAATAACATATCATATTATTACATCAAACACTTTGAGATTATAATATTAATTTTGACCAGTATAATAGTATTACTCTTGAAATGGAAATAGTTTTATAAAGCATGTTGCTGCTTTCTAAAAATTAAACAAAATATGAATATTCTAACGTGTATGACATAATATTAATTTTTAAATACCAAACCAAAGAAGAAAATTTAAATTTGGTTGAACGCCACACACCATAATCATTGTGGATATACCCCAAAAGCACTGGCCAGGCAGATTATGCGAAATGAGACGTTTTTTTTTTTTTCCCTTTAACTTTCAATATTTTTATAACAATAATCATAATTTTATTATTATTTTTCCATTGTTTCTGACCATATTTGTCCGAATCCATTTTCTTTAGCTTCTGACCTTAAGCATGTCCAAATTCAGGCGTTTACGTTGTACTTTACACGAAAGCATCTTCAATATAAACTGAGATATTAAGAAAGAAACATGATTAGATTTGAATATTCCATATTGTGAATAAAAATATAAAGTAAAAGGTTTAACTTCTTTTTGCTTTTTGTTTGCTTTCTTATTATTTATGTATGGTCAAATGGGTTTAGTACTCAAGTGCGTAATGCATGCCACGGCCACTAAAAGAATTGTATTCGCCACTCCATCGAACATGACAAAACTAATTAATTCAGGTATGACTATTCAACCATTGTAAAAAAATTAATAATTTCTAAGTTAGTAATATGTTGTTTAAATCAATGGCTACGTTTCAGTAAAACTAATATCTGTGTATATATATGTTCAAAAAAAAAACTAATATATGTGTGTGTATCTACTCATATATACTTGGCATATACATCATATTCAAGCATTATTGAGATTAATTAATTAATTTAAAATAATTTCTCAATATAATTTTTTATTTACAGAGTTTGAACTCTTGACCTTGTTCCAAAAAAACTAGTGCCTTCTATTTTTTTCGTTTTTGACCAAATGTCTTTTATTTAAACCCAATAACCATTGTGATTTTAATGTGTGTATGTGTGTGTATCGTTACATTATACACCAATACCACCAGACAGTGGACAGATTACACATGGTTCAACTAGTAATTAAGAAAGTTGCATTAGTTTAACAAAGAGGGTTTCAAGTTCTCATCCTAACTCATTTTCGGATTAGTTTGGCCTTTGTTAAAATTCTTTCAGTTTGATATGGGATAGAGCCATGATATCCGATGCTCAACATAAAATTTAAAAGTGTACAGAAAATGGATAGTGATAAAAATTAAATCTTTTAATCTAACAAAACAATATTAGTCTCACACACACACACATGTTCACAAGGAGAAGACGAATGATTTGAAGTAAAACAATAGCAATTAAAAATTACATAAAAATTTATACTAAAAAAATAATTAAGTGAATATCGTATATTAATTGCATCATATTTTTTAGAAAAAATCATAATTTTTCTGATTCTCAATATAAGTTGAAGTTTAAAATATTTTTTAATCATAAATATAAAATAAAATTAGAATAATTAATATTTTTTTCAATTCAACCCCTTGTTTATTAATTACAAAAAAATAAAATTGAAAAGTTATATTTTTTTACAATTTCAAAGTTATAACTAACATTCCTTACAGTTTTATTTATTTTGTCTTTTTATTAAGCACTAGAGTAGTATACAGTAGTGGTAATTGATAAATTTTATATCTAATTGCGAACTATTTATTGCCGTTAATTTTAAATTTTAATTAAACATTATCCCCTCAAATCACGAGAGGGCAAAAAAAATTCAACGCCGGCATGGTTGACCACAGACCACATCATCACTCATAATCACAAGGGACACAAACCTAGACTATATCCAAGTCAAATGTTCTTTCCATAGTATTATTCTCTCTCTCTCTCTGTATCTGTGTATCATCTTCTTCTTCCTTCTTCTTCTTCTATTTCTATCCACCCAAACATCCACGTTTTCTTATCCTCTTCTAAAATGGGAAACGCATTGCTAACCCTAACCCCATGCTTTCACCAAAACCCTAATTCTTCATCTTCATCATCCTCAGTGAAGCTCGTGTTTTGGGAAGGAACCATCAAGACTCTCACAGGCAAGAAGCACATCGCCGGAGAGATCATGTTCCAGTTCCCGGAGATGATGGTGTGCCACGCCGACTCCTTCTTTATCGGCCACCCTGTCCCGGCCCTCGCCATCGACGATGAGCTCATGTTAGGGCAAACCTACTTCGTCCTCCCCATCGACCGGTTCGGCTGCGGCGGCGGCGTCCTCTCCGCCTCCTCCCTCGCCGCCCTCGGTTCATCCCCTAACCGGTCCCCGATAAAGTTCGGACAGTGCCCGTTCGAGTACCTAAAGGGACCCAATGGAAGGGCTCTCATGAAAGTCAATCCAGAGTTCATCACGAGGCTAATTGTTGAAGGAGATCACAATAAAGATGATAAAGAGATTATTGTTACTAATGATGAGAGTAGTAGTAGTAATAATAATAACAACATTCCAAGCAAGAGCTTCATTTGTAGTACTCCGGAGTTGCAGAAGCACTATGAACAACTTGTGAGGTCAAAGGAACAAGTTTGGTCACCTAAACTTGAGACCATTTCTGAGTATAAGATCAGGTTTTCACCATGCAGATTCATTGGATTAGAGTGGAAAGAGAAAGAAAAATCTGGGAGTAATATCTACTAGTCAATTATTAAGTTCGTTTTTATACTATATAGTACACGTGTATCATAAATTTGTGTAAATGATGATCAGATATGGAAAGTTATTGCAGAATTATTTCTTGTTTCAGCTCGTTTCTTCTCTGATGGAACCAAATAATTAATTAACTGTGAGTTCGATTTCTTTCTCTTTATTTTGTGTGTTTGTTAATATATTAAACAGTCTGCAGAATGGTTAGATAAATGTTGTTAGCGAACGACGAATATAGAGACACTATGATTTACGTACTTATATATGTTGATTGTTCTGTATAGTTCTGATCGACGTGCTGTTTAATGTTATGGAATAACATTGATATGATCGATATATCGATAATATATATGAAACTATGCTTGGATACTGTCTTCTCCAATTTCAGCCACATAGTGCCTTCTCCTCCTATGTTATTTAGGACTGAGAGAGGGTATTTATTTTAATTTATTTATAAAGCATCTTAATAATTTTTTTTTACATTTATCTTTTTATTATATTAAATGTTGAAAATATTATTAAATGCTAGATTATTTTATTTTTAAAGTCTGTATATTTAATAAAGATAAATTTAAAAATTTATTAGGTTTTTAAACGGCGTTAATAAAGTTTAAAGTTTGGATAAAAATATTAAAAATAACTTATAAATAATATCAAAAGCAATAATATTTTCTTGAGTCTTAACATAGAATTATTTGATATCTAGTATTATTATCAATCAACGTGCCAAAGCCCTTCTGGCCCAGTGGCACTATATATGCTTGCCATTTATGGCATGACCCTCAGTTTGAGAGTAAATATATTTTTCTGTATTTTTGTTGGATAGTAAGGGAGGGAAAATAAAAAAGAAAATAAAAGTTGGAGAAAAAAGATAAATGGAATCCACATTTTTTTTACTACAAAAATTTTCTGTTCAAAACTGGAGAAATGCTGTACAAAAAACAAGCTTTCCAAAATTGTCTCGTAGGAGAAAATAAGATATGAGGCCAGCATCGTTTCCATATCGGTATTACAATAACGAAATTAATCGCTTTATTTTCTCTGTTAGTTTTATCTTGTTCATCTAAACACACAAGAAGAGAAATTATGTTATCTCAACCTTTTCTTTCATATTCTCTCGTATTGTCTTTCCTTTCATTTTCTCCTGTCCAAATAAATTAAATACTTAAACTTTGCGTCAAGGCATCTAAGAAACCTTTTGGAAGAACCGCATACAAGAAATTAAAATCATCACTCTTATGATCTGATTGGAGTATACATTGATGGTAATTATAATGAAGGTGAAAGCATAATGAAAATGACATTGAAAAAGATTATATATAATGACGATTCATGTTGAAGATAATGAGATGGCAACGAGAAGAGTAAAGATGAATGCTAGTAAAAAAAGATTAAAAAAAGAAAAAGATAATGATAGTCAATTTTTTGAAGATCTTTTGTTAATTTTTTTATGTATCTTGATTTGGATTTAACTTAATATATTTATAGCACTATGGAATTTTTTATATGATGTTAAATGACACCGAGAAAAAAAAATTACAGTGACAATGATATTGATGATATAAATTATTATGATATATCACTTTGAATCATCTAATCTTAAAATAGTAAAAAGATTATAACACTGATATCATGAATGACATATACCCACATCTTTACTGTCAGTGCACTAAACTTGAGCATTTTTAATTTATATATTCAAATGTCCTGGTTTGGTTAATGATAACCAAATCTTCTATCAAACTTTTTTTTAAAAAAATCAGATTTTGTTATTGATTCGACCGGGTTATATTTTAAAAAAATTAAAATTGTGTTAAAATAAAATTATTTTTCTCGAAGCGTTTCTTTTAACCAAAAAAAAAAAACTTACGGCAAAAAGCTTGAGAAAAAAAAAACCGAGAATATCGCTAATCAATAAACTTGAAACAAAACCAGGAAATAATGTGTGCGTGTATAACAGAATTATTATTATTATTATTATGTGTATAGCATATGAAGCATCGAGAATGTTCACTGTTGAATTATCTCGGGTTTATCTAGTGCTGGGCTTTTGGGCTTGGGCTTGCATAGGGAAGCCCAACTTGATTATTTCATTTTATTCAAAAACGGAAAAGCCTATAACAAAAGGACGAGGAAGTTTCACTCTTTACGACAGCGTAACCCACTGAATTAATCTAAATGGGTCATTTGCGCTTTAAAAGGCCCATTAATTACAATTTTGTTTGCCTTTGATTCTTATGAAGACAAGAGTCAAAAGCCATGTCATATGTATTGCATAGTATTTGAACCATGAACAGCATTGCTCAGAATTAATAAATCATGCAAGTTCTTATCAAAAAGTTTTCATATAAAAAATTCAAATCTACGATAAAATAAAAATTTTATCACTCACCAACCATGAATATCTTGACTTCCCAAACCTTAAGCAATGTATGAGGGAAAAAAACGTTTGTTTTAACAATATATATATATATATATATATATATCATGCTCACTCAATTTGTTGTGAACTGAGATGATAGTGTTGTGTTGTATTAAAATGTGACTCCTACCCTTCTTTTCCCTAACTTTGGTGACAAAAATTTGTGTTCAAGAAGAATATAAAATTTATATTTTAGCGAGTCACAAGAAGGATATTCTTCCTATAATAAAGATTAATCTCCTTCAAGATATTGAGATTAAAGTGTCCTCCCAATAAACTATATACTCCTCCGGCACTATAATATAGGTAATCTTTTAAAAATTTTTCTTAATTCTGTAATATAAAATATTGAGTAATTTTTATAATTATTTTTTTAACTGCACCCCTACTTCATCTATTGCTCTTTAAAAAAAAAATAATGCATCAAAATTTCAATTCTTATTATTAAGGCACTTATATTGGATAGATAAAAATTTTTAAGAGATTAAAATTTAACCTCACTTTTTTAAAAAATCCATAAAACAGTTTACTAACACCCTATATTATACTCTCTCCATTTTTATTCATTGGAGAAACTATCAATTTTACCTTTTTTTATATCAGCAAAATTATATTTTTTAATAAATATTTATTGTAAACTTTTTAAATTATTCTTCATAATTTTATCACTCATCGTCATAAGAAATAATTAATGAAGACTTAATTAATATAATTAATAAAAAATAATATAGTCTAATTTTTTTATTATTAGACACAATTAATATAATTAAATAATTTTTTTAAATTATATGATACAGTTTTTTCTCTACAAAAAAAATAAAGAGAGTATACAACTACACATGTCCTCTTGATAAGATATCCTTTAGAAGAATATTAATTATATTTTTTTAATATTATTCTTATTTAAATTATTAACTAAGTTATATGAGAGAGAATATAATTTAAATTTAGTTATTTTATTTAAATAAGGGTGTGATAGAAAGTTGATTTTATTTTCAAACATAATTAATGAGCGGACTTTGTATGTGCGTACTTATGCATGCATGTGTGTGTGTACAAGTATAGGAGACATGTGATAAATGAGTAGACTTGTCTTTATAGCAGAAGGATACTGTAGGCTAAGAAAGCAATGAAGACAGGTTTGGTGTATCGTGGACTAGTGAGGGACCAGCCTAGGCTCTGTTTGGTATTGCGATTAATGAATTCCCACGCCTGCACAGTCTTTACTAATCCCTCTCTCTCCTCTCCCCCCCATCCACATGCCCCTCCCTCTCAGCAACGTACCCTTTCCTTCTTCCCAAATCAATTTTTCACCAAATTGTTAATAAAAAATGGTTTTTTTTTTTTTTGGCAAAAATCTGACTCATAATTTACATCTGTGAATGTTGTTGGTAAATAATTTATAAATATTTTTTTAAGTTTACAGACATGCATCAGTCATGGTGATTCTTTGAGACCTTAATCCAACTCACTTTAATTTTTTATAAAAAAAAATTCTTATCAAATTTATAGCTCATCATCCTCAACCTATTTTTTTGAAAGTTGTTGTTGTTGTTAAAAATTAAAAAAAGTTGATGTTGCCTTTCATTTTTGGCATGGACAAGAATTATGGTGGTGGCGTTTAATCTTTCTTTTTGTCTAGGTAGAATTTAATCTTTCATGAGGAATTTTTTTTCTTTTGTTTTTTTTTCTAGCAAATCATTTGGTGTCCGAAGTCAAGACTGCAACTATTCTGAATCAAACTGAGTTAGGAGCCTTTTGAGTATAAACTTTACTGTCAAATGATACTGCGTTTTCATTGCTCAAACTCGATACGTCTGATTAAGTTAATATAATTTTATTTCTGGTTAAACCAAATACTTGTTGGTCTCTTTCCAAAGGTTTTCAGAGTAAATAGCATGATGCTTCCTATTGAATTTGCCTTGTTTTCTTAAACACAAACATTGCACCATGCACTGTAGACAATATATTAAGGATAATATTAATATTAATGCGCTTTGTAAAAAATGTTACTATATTTTCAAAAATTGATATTAATACACCATACTGGTACTGCTTCGTTAATTTGTTTATACATCAAGTTGCATTGATCATAATGGGATAAGAGTGTCACTATAATAATAATAATAGTAATAGTAACGGGAGTAAAAAATAAATTAGGAGGTTAATTTTTTTATACATTAGGAGGGTTTTGTTGTCTTTATCGTTGTTATAAATTACAGTTTTTTTTTTTTTTACTTTTTCATTTTTTGTACTGATGATATTGTTGTCTACCAAAGGATGTTTGTCCCATTCATGAAGCGAACTCTTTCGCTTGAACTATTATAAAGGTTTAGGATCAAGACTGTAAGTCAGTTTTCATTATTTTTTATATTTTTAAACTTTTAAAAATATAAATTTTCAATTATAATGTATAATAGAAATTCTCTTAACATAGAACTTCAAAGCTCGATTCTCTTATGGTTTCTTTTTTTTTTTTTTTCCAAAACCAAATTTTAATGAAAACAAATTTAAATGGGGGCTCCATAGACCCAACTCCTATTTCCTGATCTATTTGGAGTTGAGAGTAAACTAGGGGCTGTGCAATTAATACTTGGAGTAGTACTTGAACAATGAACTGGGAACCAGGAACTTCGCAAGGAACCAATGACGCGCGTACGGA